TAATCCTAGGCAGTAGGGCCAGGACGCTCGATCGAGCGACTACCATGAGGAGCAGGGCAGCGAGCACGCAACTTCGCCGAGAAACACGCGCTGGTCATCACCAACACAACGGATACTTGGCGACCCACCTACTTCGGCGAGCGCACGACAAGCTGCGTCGACTGCATCATGATGCTGCAGGAGCTCGCCCCGACCATGATCTCACAAGGACCACTTCTACGACTGGGCGCGCGACTCCAACGCGTCCCGTGCAGAGCGAGACGCGACCGCGTGCCAGTGCAGACCGCATTCCGACTCCCAGTGCAGCGCCGACGCCGACGACAGGAAACAGCACTTCGCTGGGACAAGGGCCGACGGGCGCATGGAGCGCGACGAGGACTACACCGCAACGACTTCATCGAAGACCTGGAGGCGCAATTGGAAGAATACAACCCAGGGCAAAGGAGTCGACCGACTGTTCCTGCATTTGAATCACATGATCATCCAGTCCGCGCAGCAGTATTACGGCGCAGCCCCACCGGCTACAACGCCGCGCGCCGAATTTCGACGACAGCGCATGCAACTATTGGAACGCAGGGGCGGCAGAGAACGGCTTCGCGCAATAACAGTAACGAGCCACGAGACCAGCGAGAAGACCGCCATCGAGGATAACCGCCCTATTGACTCCGACTCGCCGCCGCGCCCCCAGGGCGCGGATGGCCTCGAAACGGGTCAGGGCGCTCCAGGGGCGGTGAGTCTGGGCCTGGGACAGACCAAGAGCAACAACCCGTACGCCGAAGATGCTAGTCAGATGATCACACCGCTGGGACGACAGCTGCGCGAAATCGAGTCTAGATTGCGAGATCTCGACGCTGTGCAAGGGCATGCGCAAGACAGAGTACCGGCAGCGCAACGATAGCAGGGTCGAGAAACTGTGCGATGCATGGGAACAACGTGACCTGGCACGAGTAGGACGACTCTCGCGCCTCATCGCGGGCGACCGCTACGGACCCAGGAAGCGCGGCGACTGGCCGGCGACGACGGCGCAACCAACGCGAGAAGAGTGGTTCGAATTCTGGGGGCGGCCAGGAGGCGATGGGGGCATGGGCGGCGCCGAGCCGCGCATCGACGCGACCGAGGACATACCGCGCTACGCGGAAGAGAGCGACTACTACGAGGAGGACTTAGTCGAGAAAGTCGAGCAGGACTACGACGACATCGCCGAGTGCCTCAAACTGGCGAGACTGAGGAGGGGTGGCACCACCGCCAACAGCACCGACGGAATTATGGAGGATGATATTCACCCCACCAGGCGACGCAGAACCACCAGCAGCACGACTAGGATTCGGAATGACAAGACAGCAGGAGGAGGCGCGCAATCTCGACGCACTAATCAAGGCGGCGCTGGTGGCCATCAGAATCAGCGACGAGACCCCGGCGAGATGGCATCGGAGCGCAGCGACGGCAGTCCGCGTCCGCAAGAACGTGAAGACAGGCCCCGCGGGAAAACTGATCTGCCGCCACGTGGGCCCGATCGGCAAGGTCCGCTGCGCGGCGGGACTTCCCGGATGGAGCGCGATCGCCCGCGCGGGCCAGGGCTGCGGCCTCATCGGAGGGCGTCGACGCGAAGGAGCCATCCTGGCCACAGCGGTGACCGAGTACAGGGCTCGACAAGCAGGATGCAACTATGCCTCCACGATGAAGGTCATGTCGAACGCGCTCGCGATCTGCAACTGGATGGCGATGGGCGCAGCCAACCGCAAGTTCACGCCAGAGGACACGTGGGGCATAGGCGAGCAACGGTACCGCGGGGCGACCTTCGGCATTCCGTGCAGGAGCGACGAGAACAGGGTCTGCATCCAATCGCGCTGCGGACGGCTCATCGGGGACCCCTGAATGGTGGGGAACTCCATGGCCAGCTCCAGCCCGTGCGTCGAGCGCAGGATTGGCGACTGCAGCGCCGAGCCCGACCGCGGCGAGAAGCTGCGCGGCGCCGGCGGGCTTTTCCAGCGCCCAGTCTACGCGGGCCTCAAGAGGTACGCTGGCGATTCTAAAAAGCTCACCCCGGGCAGCAAGTAGGCGGGCACAGCCAATCTCGCCCGCCAAGCGCGCAGTAGACGCGACGCCGAGCGACAGACCAGGGGAAATCGGGCTACGCCAGAACCAGAGCAAGCAGGATGCCATCGCCCACTTCCAGGGCGCTTGGATGGCGAGAGCACGCCAGACCGTAAGGAAGGACCGACGCAGCCAGATGCCAGGCACGGTGAAGGGCGCGGCGGGGAACTTGGGACCGCGCGCGACGGCGACGCAAAGCAACCGCCGCGAGCTGCAGAAGAGAGTCCAGGCGATGAAGAAGAGCAACTGCGAGTGCGGCGGTTTCTGGGCGAACATCCCGCACCGATGGGGGTGGGCAGTGTTGATCTGCAGGGTCGCTAGCGCGGGGCTGCCTTGCGTCGAGCGCTTCCTGCCGACGCCCAACGAGTGCGCCGCGCTGCAGAGTGCTTGCGGCGTGCTATTGCGCCGAGCCATGATGGGCGAGCGACGACTTACAGGATAGACGGATCCACCCGCAGCATGGCGACGCTCGAGGTCTTTCGCTTCCGGCAAATATTGCCGCCAGCGGAAGAAACGCTGGTCCGCGGACTTGGCCGGACAAAGAACGTTCTTTGTTTCCCGAGCAACCGCCGCCATCTCGTCGTCGCCATGTTCGGGCGCCTCGGGTTCGAGGTTGCCGAGGCCGAACGAGGCTGAGACCGAGAACGACGAGAGCCCCCTGACGGCGGACGCGACCCCCTGGGCCCGACGATTCGTAGAGGACGTCCAGAAAGCTTGCGAGATCTCGGATGCCTTTCGAAACATCTTCGGGGGCGACGTCGCGATCGGGAAAATGTTTGCGCTTGAAGCCAGGGGACAACTGCACCCGCTGGACGCGGGAGAAGTACGAGCAGCAAATCTCACCGTTTCAGTTCTTTTTCCTGGACAGACCCTAAACGACAGAGGGCGAGAATGAATGGCACTGCGAGACCTCCAGCCCTGGAAATGCGAACTACGAGAACACGGAGACGAATGCGGTCTATTCTTCGCCAGCAAGAAAGCGATGCACAGCCGCGTCATCGGATTGCACCGCGCGCGTAACCTCGCGGCCCTCCTTACGACGAACAGCCAGTGCGTCAAGTGCCTTCGGGCGCTCACGAGTCGAGGAACCGCGTGGGGGCACTCGGCCAGGGGCGCGTTGAGCGGGGGCTGCAACCCTGGCAGAACACAGCGCCGAAGCGACGACTCCTGGGACGACTTGCCCTCTCTGCAGCCATCTAGCTTTTGGCCGGGGGACCTACTTCCAGCGCTTGAGGGGGCGCCGCCCGAGACAGATACTCCGACCGCGCGACGGAGACGACTCTATTCGATCAGCGCCCGCAGTGGGGCTCCAGCCGCGCCAGTGCCAGGAGGGCCGCCGCGACCAGATCGCAGCCGTCCGCCGAGGGGGCCGCAAGCGGGAGGAGGCGCAGCGGGGGCGGCAGGAGGGGGGCAGCCAGCCAACGCGCAGGCGGTGGATCTCACAGCCAGGCTGGCCCTCACACTGGCGCGAGAACAAGCGGAACTCGCCTCCGCGGTGACCCGGGCGTGGGAGATCGACGCCAGCGCCGAGGTGTCCAAGGTCGGGCTGACAGCAGGCAAGGACTACGACGACGCGGCCCAGGACACGTGCAAAAGGGCAACCAGCGCGGAGAACGTGGACGCCGCAGCGCTTGGCAGCCCGCGCGTGAAGATCTGGACAGGGGTGCTAATCTACTTGGGCCGCGTGCACGAGGCGGGGGCCGAGCGAGACCCACTCGAGAAGTACTGCACGGATTGCGTTTGAATGGCAGCGCGGAGATCGTAACATCGTCAGCGCCCGCGTTCCGCGTCGGGCGCAACAGGGGGAAAGGGGGGCGGCAACGGGGCGCAGGAGAAGTGCAGGTTCCAGTTCCAGATGCATCACGCGTGCCATCAGCGGGAGACGGCGGTAGTCGAGCAGCTCAAGAAGGAAGGGGCGGTCAGGGAGGTGGGGGCAGCGCCGCGCGGGGCCATCGAGTGGGTGGAGTCTCGGGGGACTCATCAACGGGGCGTGAGCAATGCGACAGAGAATGACCGACTGGACACCGACCAGGTTTGTGCGACACCCGCAGGCGCAGCTCCCAACGGTGACCGACTGGGCACATATTTTTTTTGTGCGACGCCAGCTGGTGCAGCATCAGATAGTGGCCGGCGGGACACGTATCAGTTTTGCGCGACATCAGCGGGTGCCCTGCAGCAGGAGACCAGAACGCAAGGGTCAGGGAAGGGCCGCAGCGGGGGTGAGGCCGAAGGCCATGGGAGCGACCGCGAGCATTCAGTGCAGCTGCGCTCAGCTGACGCTGCCCCCATCGCAGCGCCTCAGGCTTTTCGAACCAGCGAATATTCCGACAGTTGCTCAGGGAAGATTGGCTTCCTCTTCGCCGCCCACCGAGGCTGCCCCCTCTTTCAATTCCATGGGCCACGCCTCCCTGAGTACCATGTAGTGCACGGCCCCCTCCCCCAAACCCAAACGAAAAGGGAAGGGCCGCGGGGGGAAGGAAAGGGGTAGAGAGGAGAAGGCGAGAGGGCACCCGTAAACGCGGGTAGACAGGCCCGAGAGCTCGATCGATCGATCCTCCTCCTCCTCCCCCTCCTCCCCCTCCTCCCCCATCCTCCTCCTGCTCCTCCTCGTCCTTCTCCCTCCTCCTCTTCCTCCTCCTCCTCCTCTTCTTACTCCTCCTCCACCTCCTCCTCCTCCTCTCTTTCTCCCCCTCCCTCCTCCTCCTCCCCTTTTCCTCCTCCTCCTTCCCTCCTCCTCCTCCTCCCTCATCCGTCCTCCCTCCTCCCTCCTCCCTCCTCCTCCTCCTCCTCCTCCTCCTTCTCCTCCTTCTCCTCCCTGTCCTCCTCCTCCTCCTCCTCCTCGTCCTCCTCGTCCTTCTCCTCCTCCGCCTCCTCCTCCTCCTCCCCCCCGCGCCCTCGCGCGGCAGGCTGCTGGACGACCGGGGGAGGCCGCTCCCCGTGCTGGCAGGCCCCCGGGCCGCTCCCCCGCGGACGTCGTTGCCGCGCTTCGGCCCGGGCGTCTTCTCCCAGCTTCGGGCCCAGGGCCTGGGGGCCCTCACGGATCGATCGGTCTCGCAAAATTCAGGCGGTCGCAAACATGAATCAAGGGGGCGTGGATTCGCGACGGGTCCCAGTTCCATAGGAAGGCGCGGATTTCCGCCGCTGGGTGGGTCGGCAACGGCCGCGTTTTGGGGAGGGCGCCTCCCCCGATCCATGGATTTGGTGACCGCGTGCCAGATTCATTGATTGCTAATCCATGCTTGCGCGCCCTCGAAAAATTGCGCAGCGAGATGGTGTCCAGGGCTCTGTTTTTTTACGATGTTGCACTTTTCTGTTTTTCCGATGCGTCGGATCTCAGGGGCTCTGGTCGATCGAGGCTCGAGGCTCGAGGGAGGTTTGTCGTCACTTCTCGGCCACGAGAGCTGAGCCAGAAGAAGTCGGGCCTGGAATCGAAGAAGAACAGGCGGCACAAGCATGGACTTTCAGAGGTCCGCGCGGATTTCTTGGACCTGCGCTGGACCCTCCCCGGCGGCGCCCCTGGCGCCGCCCTTGGCACGTGGTCCAGGAGTTCTGCGCCGACCTCCGAACGAAAGCTCGTGCCTTAGGAAGGAACCCTTTTCGTTGGTGAGGGGCTTCGCGTTCCTTAAGTGTTTCACAGCTTGCCTAAGGTTTTCCTTATGTTTTCGATAGGAAATCGAAGTTTAACTTATGGAAAAAAGGGGCCTCGTTCCTTATTTAGGGCTCCTTAGGTCAACGCCCCGACTGTATGGAGCCCGCGTTCGGGCTCCGCCTCTGCCCGAGGTCGATCCACCGGCGTCACCCCATCATACCAATACAATGTGGGCGTCGGCCCCCCCCCGCCCCTCCTCCCAGGGGCGACGCGCACGCGAGCAAATCTTGAAGTACGTGCTCGGTGGCAGGCGCCTTCTGGCCGCGCAGCTCGGGAAGCGATGCAACACAAGATGGTTGTACTTTCTGTTCGGGTCGGACGCACGCTTCCGAGGAGGACACACTGTTTAAGTCGGGCCTGTCCTTCTTCAGGAGGAATATTCAAAATAATACAAAATCTTGAGGGTACGATTTTTCTACTGTGGTTTGATTCTGTCTGATGATCTTTTGAGCATTTTCAATTTTTCTTCCAAAACCTGCCTTCAGGGGGACATGCCCGACCTAATTCTACAGGCCCTTCTGCGTCGCATGCCAGCATGGGCACCACGGACGGGTCTGGAGAGTCGTGGTCGTCACTCGGCAGAGGGTGTCGAACCCCGACCCCTTTGTGAGCTTTTACCCTATCCCTCACCCGGCCCGTGCGTCCTAAGAGCGTGTTTCAGTCTTGCTTGGGGCATAATGGGCACTATAGCCCCCGGCCCCCCCTCCCCCCTCCCCTATAACGTAACGTCCCTCCCCCCCAGTGCGCTCCGTGCACTGCCGCCGTGCGCACGGCGTGGTGGAGGCGTTACAGTATACCCCACCCCCCCTGCCCCTCCCCCCTCCCCTGTAATGCCCATCATCGCCGCAAAGTAAAGAGAAACGCGCTCTAACGTCAACCCGAGTTACTGACCCCCACAGGGCCCATCTTGATCCGATCGATCCGATTTGAAATCAATTCCGGCCAGTCCGAGTCGATTCGATTCCGATTTATGACGATCCGATGCGGCCCGACGCTCGCATGGCGTCGTTCTGTGTTCTGACGCGGCCGATCCGGTTCGATTCCGACTCCGTGCCGATGCGGCCCACTCCGACGCACGTTCCGGTCAGATCCAATTTTTCGTTTCGATAATGATTGATTTTACCCCCACCATTCCTGGTAAATCATGGGGCGTGGACTTAATCCAGATGATCGGCCCGTGTATGCCGTACTGGTTTTGGCTTGTTTGTTGCACTCACCGTCCTCAACCGTCCATCCTGCGTGACATTTTTTTTTACCATTCTAGTGGAAGATCAAAGCAGCAGCATAACCATGTATTTACGGAGTTCCGCGAGGATTTCTTGGATCTGTGCTGTGGCCCTCTGTGTGTGCGTGTGTGTGTGTGTTTGTGTGTGTGTGTGTGTGAATGTTAGCCTTAAGTCGAACCTGTCCCTCCACGGGAGGAATACTCAAGTATCCTGTGACGTACCCAACCCGTTTGCATCAAGTGGCAAGAGGAGTTGGCCCAAACTTGTCAGGAGAATGACTTGCAGGCGCCGTTATATGTTGTGCAAGCTACATGGGATGCGGTCACGTGGCGCGATTCACAGGACAAAACAGAAGGACGAGGAGCGAACTCCCAGGCTTGAGGAGGACATGGGGGCGGGAACGAAGGGCAGGAAAAGGACGCGCGGGGGGGCGACCCGTCAGCGCGGCAGCAGCAGAGGGAAGGTGGCAAGAGGGGCAGAGGACGACGACGAAAGTGATGGTAGGAGACCGAAGAGTGTTGCCTTTTATCGGTCGTGCGCTAGAGATGCAGCGCTGCCTGCGCGATGTTGTCGCGGTGTTCGACAAAATGGTTAAGGCTGCTTATACTTAGTCCAAGAAGCGAGCGGAGCCTAGCTCGCCCGCCAGCTTCCCTGTTTCTTTCCCGCACTCTTCAGTTCGGGAGCTAAACGCTCGAAGGCGCGCCGCCAGGTCTGCGGGCGGTCCACGAAGGCGCCCCGCCTGATCCGCCTGCAGCCCTCGAAAGTGGTGACAGTTTCGCAGATCGCAGTCCCCTGGGATGGCGAGGTCTAATCTGAATCCGCGGCGGGTGCCCACTATGCTGGCCCCTCCAGCAGCCCTCGAAAGTGGCGACGGTTTCGCAAATCGCAGCCGCCCAGGGACGGCGAGGTCTAATCTGAGTCTCGGTGGTGCCTCACTCCGCTGGACCCCCCAGCATACTTCGAAAGTGGCGACAGTTTCGCAGATCGCAACCCCTCAGGGATGGCGAAGTCCAATCTGAGTCTGCGTGGTGCCGCATTCCGCCAAACCCCCCAGCAGCCTTCGAAAGTGGCGACAGTTTCTCAGATCGCAGCCCCCCAAGCATGGCGATGTCCAATCTGAGTTTGGTTGGTGTTCCACCCCGCTGGAACCCCTCCAGCAGCCCTCGTAAGTGGTGACAGTCCCGCAGATCGCAGTCCACCAGGGATGTCGAGGTCTAGTCTGAGACATGGGTGGTGCCTCATTCCGATTGATCCGATTTGAAATCGATTCCGGCCAGTCCGAGTCGATTCGATTCCGATTTTATGACGATCCGATGCGGCCCGACGCTCGCATGGCGTCGTTGTGCGTTCTCACGCGGCCGATCCGGTTCGATTCCGACTCCGTGCCGATGCGGCCCACTCCGACGCACGTTCCGGTCAGATCCAATTACTCGTTTCGATGGTGATTGATCTTACCCCCACCATTCCTGGTAAATCATGGGGCGTGGACTTAATCCAGATGATCGGCCCGTGTATGCCGTACTGATTTTGGCTTGTTTTTTGCACCCACCGTCCTCAACCGTCCATCCTGCGTATCATTTTTTGCCATTCTAATGGAATATCAAAACAACAGCATAACCATGTATTTACGGAGTTCCGCGAGGACGTTTTGGATATGTGCTGTGGCCCTCTGTGTGCGTGTGTGCGTGTGTGTGTGTGTGTGTGTGTGTGTGTTTGTGTGTGTGTGTGTGTGTGTGAATGTTAGCCTTATGTCGAACCTGTCCCTCCACAGGAGGAATACTCAAGTATCCTGTGACGTACCCAACCCGTTTGCATCAAGTGGCAAGAGGAGTTGGCCCAAACTTGTCAGGAGAATGACCTGCAGGCGCCGTTATATGTTGTGCAAGCTACATGGGATGCGGTCACGTGGCGCGATTCACAGGACAAAAAAAAACGAGGAACGAACGCCCAGGCTTGAGGAGGACATGGGGGCGGGAACGAAGGGCAGGAAAAGGACGCGTGGGGGGCCGACCCGTCAGCGCGGCAGCAGCAGAGGGAAGGTGGCAAGGGGGCAGAGGACGAAGACGAAAGTGACGGTAGGAGACCGAACAGTGTTGCCTTTTTTATCGGTCGTGCGCTAGAGATGCAGCGCTGCCTGCGCCATGTCGTCGCGGTGTTCGACAAAATGGTTAAGGCTGCTTATACTTAGTCCAAGAAGCGAGCGGAGCCTAGCTCGCCCGCCAGCTTCCCTGTTTCTTTCCCGCACTCTTCAGTTCGGGAGCTAAACGCTCGAAGGCGCGCCGCCAGGTCTGCGGGCGGTCCACGAAGGCGCCCCGCCTGATCCGCCTGCAGCCCTCGAAAGTGGTGACAGTTTCAGCCCCCTAGGGATGGCGAGGTCGAATCTGAATCCGCGGCGGGTGCCCACTATGCTGGGCCCTCCAGCAACCCTCGAAAGTGGCGACGGTTTCGCAAATCGCAGCCTCCCAGGGGTGGCGAGGTCTAATCTAAGTCTCGGTGGTGTCTCACTCCGCTGGACCCCCGGCTGACCTCGAAAATGGCGACCGTTTCGCAGATCGCACCCCCCGAGGGATGGCGAGGTCCAATATGAGTCTGCGTGGTGCCGAACGCCGCCGAGCCCCCCAGAAACCCTCGAAAGTGGCGACAGTTTCGCATATCGCAGCCCTTCAGGGATGGCGAGGTCCAATCTGAGTCTGGGTGGTGCTTCGCTCCGCTGGCCCCCCCCCCAAGCAGCCCTCGAAAGCGGCGACCGTTTCGCAGATCGCAGCCCCCCATGGATGGCGAGGTCCAATCTGAGTTTGGGTGGTCTTCCACTCCGCTGGACCCCCCCAGCAGCCCTCGTAAGTGGTGTCAATCTCGCAAATCGCAGTCTACCAGGGATGGCGAAGTCTACTCTGAGACTGGGTGGTGCCTCGCTCCGCTGGACTCCCCAACAGCCTTCGACAGTTGCGACAGTTTCGCATATCGCAGCCCCCCCAGGGAAGGCGAAATCGAATCTGAGTCTGGGTGGTGCTTCATTCCACTGGACCCCCCAGCAGCCCTCTAACGTGGCAGCCGTTTCGCACATTGCAGCCCCCAGTGATGGCGAACTATACTTTGAGTCTGCGGCATAGTACCAATTATGCTGCTCCCGTCAGCAAGCCTCAACAGTTGCGACATATTCGCAGGCCGCACCC